TTCTTCTCAAATTTTCTAACAATACCCGTTATAATATTTCTCTTGTATCCTAAGGCTTCTGCTAACTGTATGATCCTTTCAATCTTAGTAACCCGGTCTATAATGTTGTCGCAGTATAGAAAAGCCCTTCTAACCAAGGCACGAAATGCTGCCATTTTGTAACGATAGGGGTCATTGGACTTAGCAGGGATGTATAGTGGGCTATGTGTTGGTTTTATGTACACTCCGGTGGATACATGCCCTTTGCTAAAGATGATATTAATATCTAAGAAATGTACCATCATGGAACTTTTCTGCTCTAGCTTCAGGCTGAGGCCTTCCTCGTTATCGTTGATTCTATCTATGAAGCTAGTAATTTCTCGATTATTCCTCCATATTATATATAAATTATCCACATATCTCTTGTAGAAAACGATTTCTTTTTCAAAGTTTCGCAATACTTTTTCTTCCAATTTTCTAACCACAAGCTCGCATAGAAGCCCCGAAATTGGGCTTCCCATCGGAACTCCCCTCTTTTGTTTATAAGTTTGGCCTTCGAAAGTGAAAAAAGATTCGCAACATATAAGATTAGCCATTTCCATAACCTCGTTTCTGTGATGCGTTAATATCGGGTTTTCTCTAAACAAGAACTCCAATAGAGTTTCCAAACAAGAATTAATCTTAATGGAGGGGTATAAACTCTCATAATCCAACACAGTTCCCACTTCTTCATCCATCAAAGTAATGTCTTGCAGCTCTTTAACCACCATTACAGGATCTTTTGCAACCAAATTACTACTTTCCATTAGGGAGGAGATATATTCTTGTAACCTTTTTTCTAGGAAAAATGTAGGTGCTTTATGCTTTTCCACTATTGGCCTTATTTCCTTGCCCTCTTTATGCGTTTTAGCGAAGGCGAATAGTCTAGGGATCCCAGGTCTGGGGTTACGGCATTTCCGGATAAAAGGTAAAACCTTCGCAAGCTTGGTTTCCTCCAGTTTCCTAACTCTTCTATCAATAGCCTCCACAATTTTACTGCTGGTTTTAATACATTCCGTCTTTTTGATGTATTCTTCTAAGGCTTTGTCATACGTTTGTTTTTTCATTAAAACTATTTGTTTACTTTTATCCGCTCTTGCGGCAATTAAGTTGTTTGCTTTCAGCCAACGCTTAGTATAAAGGATTTCTTTGTTAATACTTCCTCCTTTTTTCCATTTTTCTTGATTTTTTAATACAGTCTTCCAACGTAAGAAAATGAAGTGGATTATTTATAAGCAGGTTCCAAAAAGTAAAGGGAAGAATATTACAACTTACGTTGTTTGGGACCAAATTGATGTACCTAATAGGGTAAAAGCGCTTCTGAACAATGGCCCGAACTTCGTCCCGGAAGATGCAGTGAATTGGGAAACCTCCATCCAGGAGATCGAAAGAGGAATTATTGGTCTAGATCCGATAGAGAAAGATTATATACGTTGGAAGACTGTAATGGATCTAGAGATCCCAACGGATCTCTAGATCCATTCTATCTACAAAATGATCAATGTTGTTTCCTATTTGCTCATTAATATTCACGACTTGTCCAGTTTTAAATCCATCTGGTGCAATTGATGTTTGAAGTGTTGAGGGTTTTTTGTTGTTGATAATTATTTCCAGCTTATTGGTCAGATCGCCCAAGCTATCAGAAGTAGGTATGTCTTGTATTTTTTCTATTGCCAGAGAAAGCTTCTCTCCTATAATCGTCTCCAGTCTGTCACAAAGCGCTTCCAGTTTACCATTGGGTGTAAAAGTTGTACAAGGTGGATGGAGGATTGGCATTGGTGGTGTTGCGCCATGTCCAAAGGTGTCGTAATTCTGAGAATGTAATCCTCTCCATCTTGATGGGCAAGGAGATTTTTCCTGTGAAATGACCTCTTGACACTCCCTCTCCAGGTATGTTCGGTCGCCCTTGATACTCTTGACCGCAAGATCAATGATTCTGTGCATTTGTTCTTCCACAAATTTAATGTTTTGAGCTGAGCTCAAACGTTTGTTTGATCCTTCTGCACAGAATCCCTTAGTTTCGTCGAGGATCCGGAAGGCTTTTGTTAAAAATAAATCTACAATGGTTTTTTCCATAATAAAACAAGATCTAAATACAGTAACCCAAGTGTAAGTGTAGTGTCCTAAGCCCAAAGCTGAAGGATGTGGTGAAAAGTGGGAACTGAAGTTCCAAGCGACTCTGCACCACCAGGTACATTCTGAGAGTGCAGAGGTAAAGGATAGAATACAACTAGCTTAATTCTAGTTAAAACTAAATTAAAATTAATTTAATCTAATTCGCGTGACAATAGTGAACAGTACTCCACAAAAGAAAAGTCCATCTTCATCTGTAATGCCGAATCACCAAGGAAAAACACCAAAAGTTGCTTGAATACGTCAGAATGAAAACATCGATCGTCTTCTGACGTCAGCGACGTCCGTTGTAAAAACCGTTAGAGAAGAGTTCGTTGACCTCTGAAGTGTAGAAAGTTTTAAAATCGTAAAACTGCTCTAACTCAGCCGAAAATGATCGGAAGAGGATCAAACTTTGGCAGATCGTAGGGTTTAATAACGTCTCACTATGATCCAAAGATTAACAATGTGTGTAAAGAAGAAAGCCCGATGCGGGCCTCCGAAGGTTCAACACAAAAGGTGAAATTGCCAAAGACCCGGTGGGCCAAAGTCAACGAAATTTGGTACGAACACTCACCACAAAGGGTCACGTCCAAAAACGTCGAGCTGTCCGGTTTAACGGTCGTAGGTAGTCCGGAAAAGCGATCCGAAGAAGTCAAAACTACATTGTTTCGTAGTTTGAAAATTTGTGGGTCCACAGAAAATTTTTTCACATCAAAAGGTTCGCCTCGATAAGATCTATTAGGATCAACACAAAAAACCGCACAAAAATAAAAAGAAACCACTAAAAACGCGAAAAGTTCAGGAGCTCGATCTTCCAGCAGTCACCAAGCCAAAGGAACAGTCCACTCTCAGTAGTAGATAGGGACATTTTATTTTTATTTATTTTTTTATTTATTTATGTCGGAATCTTATCTCCTAAAGGCGCCTCTGATTGGGCCACCCCAGTTGATCATTCCATTTTAATTTCTCTCTACTCCGCAGAGCTTTGTAGAGAATATAATAAACATACAATTAAACGGTAACATATTAGTAGTAGAACGGCGACTTGAAGTAGAAGACAGTAACCACCAGAAGTCAACAACATAAACAGACAATACCCAAACAGACCATCATCTGCCAAGAGCCTTCAGTTTATAATAATGAACCATCATCCTATATAGCCCATTAAACAAGTTCTTATTGTTCACCAGCGAATGTTTAGATACAGGCCAACGAAAACCCTCATCCTCGCTCAACAGCTGCAACTCATTCCTCTCCAGTTCAAGACTGACGCAGTCATAAATAATGTTTTGGATCCTCATATACGCCACAGATGTTACAGGTATCCACATCAGCATGCCCAAATCTATAGTTGTAAGCGTTGTAGTTGCCATGATGACTAAGAAGAGTTGATGTAACAAAGTCAGTAAAAACATGTTCATTCTTTAAACGTTCATTCACATCAGGAAAGAAGGAGTATAACCCCCTACCCCTATCGGAAGAGGTCCAGCAATCTTGCCAAATAACACAATAATACTCCTTTAGCCGTTTCTTGATATAAGTCCTTGAAACACTATTACAGGCCACCCGTGTATCCTGGGTACACGCAGCCTTAGCCAAAACATCTGCATGCTCATTACCAGTATTACCAGTATGGACCATAATCCAACAGAACTCGATGTTATTCCCACTATTTTTATCATTAAGGCTGTTCCAGATCTTCTGAACAATATAATCCTTATTATTTAAGTCCTGCAGAGCTGAAATAGCAGCTTGACTATCTGTACAGATAGCAATAGTCTTGTTATGCTGGCTTTTATTAACCCAGAGTATAGCCTTTGAGATCGCAAATAACTCAGCTTGAAAGTTGTTACAGAGTACGTGCATCTTCCAAGTTTGACAATAAGTAGGACGATTGGCGCTATAAAATACAAAAGCGGCACCAGTACCCGCATGATTCCTCGAGCCATCCGTATACACACGATCCTTGCGTGCATTATTGTAACGTACCTTGACAACCTCTGGTATATTACTTATCGGCATCCGCTGCAAAGCCAGAACCTTTGCCTCAACACAAACATTATCCATATTTAGGCACTCTGGGATCTTGTTATCTGTTCTCAAATCTAGGTAATGACTCCTTTGTTGAATTTCTAAATCTATTGGAAGAACACCAGCCAAAACATGAAGAGCATCGTTAGAAACAGTACGATACGCCCTAGTCATACGGAGCAGCATCATTCTCTGCATGGAATACAACTTCCTCTTGATATGTACATTAAAAGTCCTATGAGTCCAAGCGGCTGTGCCATAGGCCAACATCGGGACAACAGCACTAGTATAAATCAATTTCAATGCTTCACCGGAAAGACCCCAATCCTTCCTGGCAACCCTCGAAATCCATGCGAATAGGGTTCCAACCTTATTACGCAAATAATCAATATGCAGCATCCAACTCAGCTTATCATCCAACGTAATACCAAGATACCACATAGACTTCACAATATGAATCTGACTGTTGTTCAAATGAACCTTCGGATTCCTCTTATCCACATTGAACCTAGTAATAACCATCCCTGTAGTCTTACTTGGGTTAAAGTACAAACGGTTATCACAACCCCAGTTGTAAATTATAAGAAGTACCCTATTTATTTCTTGTTCCAACTTTATCCTACTATTAGCTGAACAAATCACGATGACATCATCAGCATACGCAGTCATATGAACATCTTGTAAATCATGTTGCTTTAGAAGGTCATCCAAAATAATACTCCAGTAAACAGGGCCGGAGCAAGAGCCCTGCGGGCACCCCATAGTCACATTCTTCCTAGCACTGACATTACCATAATTAAGAACAGCAGATCGATTTGTAAAATAATCGCATATTAACGCATAGAGATCACATGGACAGTTATTTTCCTCTAATCTCTTATGAATAAGGGGCCACCACGCATTATCGAAAGCCCCTTTTATGTCGAGACAGACAGCCATAGTCCATGCCGCAGATGTACGACCAAGCTCTAACTTATTGACCACTCTGTGGATCGCCTCTTCAGCACTTGTGTCCTCCCTAAATCCAAACTGAGTAGGGTGAAGAGGGTTAGTCTTATTAAGCCAATCAGTCAACCTCTTTGTTATAAGCTTATCCAATACCTTTTTCAAAACCGGCAACAGACAGATCGGCCTGTAGCTATTGAGTTCATTAACAGGCCTATTATTGCCTTTATAAATCGGCACTACCGTTGCGATTTTCCAATCAGCTGGGAAAACACCATACCGATAACAGCAGTTAAAAAGATCTTGTATGAAGTGAGGTAGACCATTATTTATGTTCGAGATTATCTCAATGGTTATCCCATCATGACCAGGCACCTTCCCATGTTTACAATTACCAATTGCCCAATCAATATCCTTCTTAGTAAATTTGCCATCCCTATCAGCCATCGTCTAGTATTGTAGGGTACCTCGAATATTCCTCTGCCAAGAGTTATCCCTCTGCTCATCGTCATCCTTAAAAAATTCGCCTAGTAGCATATTTAAACAGTCCTCTGTACTAGTGAAATGATCGCCTTTATCATTCTTAAAATCTTGGAGTTGAAATCTATGCCTGATTTCTCCCGTACCTAATTTGTATAGGACACCCCAAGAATCCTTGGAGCACTGCTCACAAAAGGCCTTCCAACTATCTTGTTTGGCAGTACGAATATGATTCTTATAGTCTGCTTGCTCCCTGATGTAATCCTCCTTTAGTTGATTTCTCAAAATGTGATTCGTGCATTGCTGATATGGTTTCCTCTTGGCATTAACCCGGTTTTTATGAATCAGAAGATCCCTACTCCACCACTTTACCACCTTATCTTTAATCGTATACTTAGGTATGTTTTCATCAACAATCCTTTGTAGCGCAGTAATGCAGCTGTTTATCGCCTCAGAAGCCTGACAGTAGCTGTTAACCTCACTGTAAGCAGGAACA